CAGGTAGATATCCTGTTCGAAACCAAGTAAGATGACTTTTTCGACCATCCACAGCTTCTTGTGGTAGACCCAGGTAGAGAGGGAGAATTCCATGACTTGGGCACTTTGACCGAGAGTGGCGGCCGCGGAGGATATGTCCATGTCGATTGAGCTTGCGTCGGCTTGAAGCAGGTCCCAGCCCGTGATGACGTGCGTCAACATACGTCTTAGTCGACAACGGTTCTGGCCCATGGCGACCCAGAGATCGAGGTAGGCTTGGCCGGCGCGGTCTACGAATTCGTCGATGAGCATTGCGAATTGGAGGCGTGGGGGTTTGGGGATGAGAGCATTGCGCGGTGGTGACATTGTCCAGTTGATGGGGTCTATAACGGGTGAAGACGGGAATACGAGTGTCTTTACGTCGACGAGAGGGAGGGAGACGGAGGCGTTGAGGACGTCGGGGTGGAAGAGTAGAGTTGCTAGGTAGGAGCGGGCGTATGTCAGTGGCGGGGGTGAGCGAGCGGAGAAGTGCCAGAGGAAGGATTGGTATTCGAGGGGGTCTTGTGGAAGTGCTGGGAAGCGCGTGGCTTCTGCGCAGTCGGTGGCTATCTGGTGTAGCTTTTCCAACGCATCCTTAAAGTCGAGCTCTACGACTGGTCGTGGGGGGACTGTAGAGGCGAGACGGCGTTGCATCTTCGGACTGAAAGCACCGGGTACAGTCTTCCCAAGCTGATGCGTATTCTTCAGCGAATCGATACCTTGGAGGATCGGTGGCCATGAATAGGATATCTGGTCGAGCGGTAGATCCAAGTCAAGCGCGCGAAGGAAGTCTTTCCGGAGTTCTAATCGTGAACTGATTGCCTTCCGAAGCGCATCATTGATCTCAAAGTCGGGACTACGATGTGTTAGCAGGCCGTCGACTGTCAAGTCCGCGGTGAAGCATACTCCACAATCGTCTCCATCGCCGCATCCAACTCCCTCAAAAACACATCCATCGGCACACTAACAAACAACACCCGATTATACGTATGTGTGCAAAAGTCCTCCTCTTCAAAGTAATCCCGCCCCGTGATTTTCGCAATCACAAAGTCGCATCCTTTGATCAACGCCAGGCAATACGCTCTTAGTACTTCCAGCAACGGTCCAGGACGTCTTTCATGCAGGATCTCTCCCCGATAAAATTGCGCCTGCTCGAGGATCTTAGTCTCGGGCCAGAGCAGCTTATCGATGTGCAAAGACGTGAAGAGAGTCTGGGATAACGGGTAGCCGGTATGCCAGGCCATTTCGTAGCAGAGTAGTTGGTCCATGATGCCTATTAGTTCCTCGGGGAGAAGGGGAGCCAGAGTGTCGTAGTCGTCTTCTAGGGTCTCTCCGGGTTGGAGGAAGCCGCTGTCCATTTTGGGGTCCATGATCTGTTGCATGTAAGTCGAGAATCTTCATTCTAGTAACAAGAGCGGCGTACTTCGATGGCCCCGATGGACTCAAAGAGCGTAAAGTATTCATCTTTGACGAGTTGACCGACTTCGAGAGCTAAAAGTTGTCAGTCCAAGTTGCCTGAACATATCGTCGCAACGACTGTAATACGACATGACGAGGCAGCCCCGCCATGCCCCTCCATGTACCTGAGATGGCAACTCACCATTACAAGCTCTCGTAAACTTGTCCGTCACGTCATGAATCTTTGGCTGCGTCCCCGCGACCGGATGTCTTGATTGTCTCAAGGGTAAATTAGCGGAAGTAGAGGCCGAGATGGTAGGCGCAGACTCTTGCGCATGCGAGGGGCCTGTGCATCATCAGCATCGACTGCTCTACGCAGAAGTAAAAGAAACAATTACCAGCCCCGTCAACGGCTACAACTGTGTCATGATCCGGGGTGGGGGCTGTGCTGTGGCTGCTAGACGCATCTGCCATGTTGTGGTGGAGTCGATGCCGATGCGGGAAGATTTGTGACAGCCGAGTTGGACAGGCGCGCGTCCGAGGCAAGCGGCAACATTACTGGTGGTCACGACCGTCATCTCACTTCTACTTCACGAGCGCATTGGATTACTGGGGAGAGTGAATGTCGGCTCAATTGTTGGTGTGCATCGGCTTTGATTCCGCTCCAGCTTGATAGTACAGCTTATACGTCTATCCTCCCCAAGCGTCATCTCTCCTCCGTTGTCCATGCCACTCCATCGTGTCTATGCCATGTCCCTTCCTCTCAATTGCTTTACGAGGTCTTGGCGGCATCGGCCTGTGCCTGGAGCGCCGCAGCGTTGAGCTCCTTCAGCTCGCCCTGCTTGCCGTTCTGCCCATCCCGTTAGCCCAGCTCAACTTCCTCAATCCACCCCATCCCATCATCCTGACTCACCTCCCACTTGGCGAAGCGGAGTTCGCTCTCGCCCCTTCGCTCGGCAGCGATGCGCTTGTCCTCCTTGAGCGAGCGGCGCACGACGCGCGATGCGACGGCAATGTAGCGGTTGTAGCTGTCAACAGTCAATGGCGGGTCCAAATCTGGGGCTGCAGCGGCAGCAGAGGTGGGCGGGCGTACGTGAGACCGGCGGCTTTCCACGCGAATGCCATTGTGATGGTAGAATGCGGGTTCGTGGGTGTGGACGGGGTTTGAGTTGCGGGTGCAGGTGTTGAAGTTGCTGAGCTCCGGCGAGATTTCGCGCATGCGGCTCGGAGCTGCAGATCACGTGCACGTATCAGGTACAGGAAGCGGTTTGGGTCAACTGCACCCTGGCGGATACATGATATTTTACTTGATGGAAAGCAACTACAAAAGACACTGAGTACCTCCAAACTGTCACTGGAGCACTCCAAAGACATACAGAAATTCGTAATCGTGTTCATTATATTTTCATAGCCAGGCGGCTACATCATGAATCTACATTCTCTCGTCAAGTGGCTATACTGAGTCTTGCAGAGTGCACGCTTCCCTACAACTCCATGGCCTCTCCGCCCTCGGCGTTATCGTCGCCGCCTTCCCTGTTCTCAAAGGTAGCGTCCAGCCACTCCGCAACATCCTGGCCTTCGTGGTGCACAAAGTCCTCGCCGATACCGCTGATGCCGACGCTGGTGTTGTCGACAGTCAGCTCCTTGTCTTGTGATAGCGATTCCTTCAGCGCCCTCAGTGCGTGCTTGATCAACTCCTCCCTGCTGGCGCCCTCGAAGTCGTCCAGATGCCTCTCAAGGTATGTCCTCGCCATTTGACTCCTAGCACCGATACCGCATGCAACCATCTCCTGTGTGACACCGCTGGGCTGGAACTCGAACAGATGCGGGCCCTTTGCGTCGACACCGGCAATCAACAGTCCCACACCGTAGGGTCTCCGTCCGTACTGTTGGGTGTTGGTCTGGGCGCGGTCGGCAATGCGGGAGGTAATCTCAGAGAGGGGGATCGCGCGGTCGTATGTGAGGCGGGATGCCAGTGATTGTTGCTTCATGAAGTTGGAGAGCACACGGGCGTCTGAGGCGAGACCGGCGAGCGCGACACCGAAGTGGGAATCGATGGTGATGATCTTCTTCTGGTAGGAAGAGAGTTCTTCGGCGTTTCGCTTGTAGTTTGTTAGGGATTGTCCGTGTAGTTGGGAGAGCGTGAGTAATTACCTTGATTGCGGCGAGTACTGCATGGGTCTTGCTGACGATTCCGACGACGACAGAACCCTGCTTGACCGCTTCCTGTGCATATTCCACCTGGAAGATGCGGCCTTGTGGTGAGAATGTGACCGAGTCGTTGTCGTAGTTGTTGCGGAACATGTTGAAGGCGGGAACGTGGGGTTGTAAAGTGGGTGTGGGAGGTTACAAGAGTAAGTCGAGCCGCAGGGTTTTATATGTTCGCCCCGTGGTTTGGTAGCGAGAACCGTAGATGTGGTGTGCGGCGTGGGACGAGGACCGAGAGAGTGTGGTGTTGCAGCTGGAGGCACCCGCTGTTGACGACGATGAGCTCCAGAAGCTCCAAGCTTGGCAAGGCCCTTAGCGCGTGCGACGCAACCTCACCACCAGGCGTCTAGCAGCCAGACCCCCATCACAGCAACCTCGCATCTTCGCCGGACCGAGGATCGAACCGAAGGAGACGTCGGCGCATACTTTGCAACACACAATCGTCACGTGCACTCCTCTACGAATCTACCATGGCCGGCATCAAGACCATCATAGGGTTGTCCTTCGTACGTCAGCCTGTCGCATGCACGCGCGCTCGCTATTCCACTATGCATTCGTTAACACCGTCCTACTAGGTCCTGGCGATCGGCTTCCTCCTTGTCATCCTCTCCGCCGCGCTCTTCAAGAACTACCTCACGCTTCTCGTCGTCGCAACCTACGTAATCGCGCCCCTGCCCAACTGGCTCTGCGGCCGCGCAGCAAACCGCGATGACTTTATGGAAAGCACCGGAAACGGTGTCGTCGACTTTGGGCGGTTCTTGACGGGCTTCTTTGTGGTCATGGGTATTGGTGAGTACACCTGGGTGGCACAGGGACGATTCTGGGGGTATCTTGGCAGATTGCTAACCCGTTGACAGCCCTCCCAACACTACTATGGCATTCGGCAGAGATCGCGGGCGGCGCGGCGGCCATGTCCATCTTCGGCGGTCTTCTGATATACGCGACCATCATCAGCTTCACCCTGTTCTTCCAGGAGCAAGAAGACTTCTGACTCGCCGGCGGGACTCAGTAATGAGGAACCGCACACACAATCTGGTCCAGCGCGACCACTGGAGGAATGTCGAGGGCGTTGAAGGCAAATGCTGACAGCCGGAAGATTTGGATCGGTGCTGCCCCATGTTTATGTTGTACCCATAGTTTGCTGAGCGTTTTTGTACAAGTATATCGAACATAATGCATAGGATGACTTTGGTTGTCCGTATTGGAACATGATAACTCGAAATCGCTGAATGACTGGCATGAAACAACAAGCTGCCTATGACGAACGTTCCCGACCCTTCAAATACTCGTACATAATTATATCCGTCCCATGCGCGCGTCCAGATGCAGAACGCGCAGTATCCGTCCTCGATCACAGTCTTCGATCCAGCAATAGCCTACAACGCCAGGTTGTAGGTGTACTCGTCTTCCATGTTCTGCGCAATCCAGAGCACAGCGGAACTACGCAATATTAGCAGCCATCCCAGCACTTCATATATTGTACTTACCTCAGCATAAGAAGCGCATTAGCAACGACGTTTCCAACGCCCAGCCACAGCGTCGGCCAAGTATGTCCAACAACAATAAACTTCATAACCATAACCACAACACTGCCCGCAAGCCCACCAGCCAACAGGGCAAAGCCCAAGAACAACACCAGCCTCGCCTTCCACGCGACGCCGTTCCCAGAGTACGAGAAGCTGTCGGCAGACAGACGCGACTTGTCGATGCTGTTGATGACGAGCATGCCGAGGGCGCTGCAGATGCCGGGGATCCAGTCGACGAAGGTGATGTGGACGGTTGGTTCGGAGCCGTTCATGGCCGACTTGGACCAGACCGAGATGTCGATGAGGGTGTAGAAGCCCATGGCGAACTGCGAGGCATGGTTAGTAGGTGTGTAGGTGTGGCATGCGAGAGGCGCGCACCAAGGCTCCCGCGATGTAGACGCCGGCAGTCCGCGTGTTGGCGCTGTTCATCCACGCGGGCTTGGGGAAGCGGAAGAGGCGATTCGAGTCCTCCATCATGTCGTGCGTATGCGTATGCGACTCGGTGGGGAGTGGGATTGTTGGTGGTGTAGGTGTAATGCAAGGAGCTAGCTAGCTGCTGGAGTTGCGGTTGCGCCAGTCGAGGTTGCGGTCCACCCGGTCGCGCCTGCCCTTGGCACTTACGTGCCTGGTCGGTCGGCATCTGCAGCTCGCCAACCGCCGACGAAAAGTTCCAGACTTCCAGACTCTTTACAACCAACACCAACTTTTGCGCCAACTTCACCCACGCACCACCTTCTTCGCTAAAATGGGTCTCTCCAAGCCCTCCACCAAGGGCAAGACCTCCTCCAAAGGCAAATCCGGCCCTGCGAAATCCGGCGCCAACAAACCGAAAGCGAAGTCTGCGAAACCGACTGGTAGCGCGCCCGAGGGCATATCGAAGCGCAAGCAAAAGTCCATGTCCTTGGCTAAACCAGGTGGCCAGCAAAAGACCAAGAGTGTAGTTTCCAGGGATGGCAGGAAGAAGAAGCGCGTGTATACGGAGAAGGAACTGGATATCCCGGCGCTGAATGGCATCATACCTGCTGGTATTGCGAAACCGAAGGGTGTGAAGAAGGGGAAGAAGTTTGTTGATGATCCGGCTAGTATGGTATGTCAATCCCATCCGTCCCGTATTCCATCCCTCTACCAGTCCATTCTCTCAACCTCGAACCTGATACTAACGTCGTCTAGATGGCCATCATGTCCGTCGTCAACGCCGAGAAGGAAGGCCACCTCGAGTCCAAGATCGCCAAAGCACGTCAGCTAGAAGAGATACGCGAGGCTAAGCGGAAAGAAGCAGAGGCGAGGAAATCAGACAAGGACCAGGCTTTCGAGGAGAGGAAACAGGATCTTAAGAAGAAGAGAAAGAGGCATAGTGAGCCTGGGGCGGGTGGGAATAAGGATGAGGGCGATAAGATTAAGGAGAAGGATCGCAAGTTCAAGCAGAGGAAGAGGGTTAGCTTTGGTTGAAGGGATGGTCTGTGGGGCGTGCGTTCAATCTCGATGGAGAGGTATCAAAAAGACGGAAGGACATTGCGGCGAGACGATCACGCATCGTGTACGATATCGAGAAGGCCACCTGGGCAGTGTCGGTAGGCCGCACATGCAGCAAACGCGAGCGTAAAAGCACGGCAGAGAAGAGGGCGTCATATGTTCGCGCAACACATCAGGTCTACAAGCGATCTACGATATCTAAAAGTCTATGATACCCAAACAAATTTACAATCCAATCCAATCTCCAAATCCCAACTCAACATTCTAAGCCTCGGGCAATATCAACCTCCGATGATTCGGATCGAAGATGGGATACTTCTTCCCTTGCAACCCTCCCATATTCACATCTGCTCCCTCGTCCACACCTTTGGTAGCCTCAAGCTCCACCTCCTCAAACATCTTCTCCAAAAACGCCGCCGCAGCACTCGCAAACCACCGTCCCCCACCCAACTGAAAAGACCCCAAATGACCACCCCAATCCGTCGTACACAACAACGTATTCGGATTCTGCAACACCTCCTGATACGGCAATCCCGCTTTATTGCTAATCGGATCGTCCTCTGCATTAATCCCCAAAAAAGGGATTCGAATCGCCAACACCGCATCCACAGACTGCGAGTCCCTGTAATACGCGCCTTCGGTCGGATACCCCCACGTAGGACACTGGACATGACGATCAAACTCGTGGAGGTATTTGCTTGCCAACAGCGCTGTCTCGTCAATACCAGGGTTCTTTAGTATCTGCGAGCGGTGGCGGTGGAAAAGTCCCATGAGGTTCTTGCCCATGGTGCGGGAGTAGATGTGCAGGCCTAGGTAGGTGGATTGGAGGGTTGTGTTACAGACTTCTAGGTTCCACGGGTTTGAACAGGAGACTGCGGCTTTGAGGGTGCAGCGGGGTCCTTCTTCGCCGCAGTAGTTTGTCAAGATGTTGGCGCCGAGACTGAAGCCTATGGCGTAGAGGGGGCGGTTGGGAAAGAGGGCGTGTAGTGTTTTGATGGTTTGACGTAGGTCCCAGGTTGCGCGTGAGTTGAAGAGTTGGGGTGTGGAGATTTTGGATAAGGCGCAGCCACGGCCATTTACGACGCATGCGGCCCAGGGTTGCGAGCGCGATGTCAGGAGCGGTTGGAGGGTTTCGCGGAGGTAGACTTCGTGGGAGCCGCCGGTTAGACCGTGGAGGGCTATTATCATGGGCGTACTGTCTGAGCTGCCTATTGCTTCCCATTCTTTGGACGTGAAGTTTGTGGTTCGCTCGGGGAGTTCGGTTGTGTCCTTTTCCTGGATCATTCGTGTAGCGGAGGCGAGGCCTTCTTCTTTTGGTACTACGAAGTCTACGGCAAAGGTGCCTGGGTAGACGGAGTGGTCAGAGTCGAAGATTTGGCGCCTGTAGTAGATTTCTGGACCGGGGTCTTTGACGGCTGTGTACATTGTCTGGAGATGGCCGTTGAAGAGGAAGGGGTTGAGACGGCATGGTGGGATTGAGGACTCGGCGATTTCTTTGAGGTTTGTTTTTGAGCCAGTCTTGGTCTGGAGGGGTGTTGGCGAGGCATGGGAGGTGTAGGTCGTTTTGCTGTGACCTAGGAGCCAAGACATGATGGGTTTGGTTGGAGTATTTCGCTCTGGATTGAACAAGTGTTGGGTCTTTGTATGAGTTCTGAAGACACCACGGTTTAAAATCCCACCTCAGCACTATTACACGCCTTTGGTCCTGTTCCTAGCTCTTTCACGATACCCCCCACTCAGTCGATCAATTGCTGATATGGTTGGTGTAGTCGGTGAATCCAGTTTCTACGAGGGCCCTCCGTGTGGATTGATCTTGACAAAGAGATGGTGAAAGTCTTATCTAGCATCACATACGTACGTAAGGTTGAAAGAATCGGGCCTCGGTCTGGCTACGACTAGGCTGCATGTGTTGGTGCAGCAAGCGCGCGTCTGTGGGCCAATGGCGCTCAAAGGCGCTGGCGCGTTCGCGATTGTCCAAGTTCGCGACTGCCCATTACACGTCCTCACGTCGACACCCCGCTTTCGCCCACGATGCACCGCCAGTACCTCGACTCTCGGTGACCGTCCGCCTCCTGAGTATCCTCCGCCATGGATCCGCGATACGGCTGGCAGCCCCAGGGCTATCCGAACGGCCAGTACAATCCGTATGCGCCGCCTCCGCAACAGCAGCAGCAGCAGCAGCCAAATGTCTACCAACAGCATGGCTACCCTCAGTATCCTCCCATGCAGATGCAGGCACCACAGGGATATCCTCAGTCACAGCCACAGCAGTACCAACTGCCGCCACAGCCCAGCATGCCCCGACCCATGAGCCAGCAGTATGCGCCAATGCCTCCCCAGATGCAGCCACCACAGCAACCCCAGTACCAACGGCAGCCTCAAGTCGTCATTCCCCCGAGGACACAGCAATATGCCCCCATGCCGCAGATGCAGCCCCCAAGGATCCGACATGTCCAGGTGCCGGTCCAGCGAACAGGCAGCACGGGCATCGCGCAAACAGACGGCTCGGGTGACCAACAGCGGCGGTATAGCGCACAACAGGCACCCAACACGCCCAGTTCCAAGCCAGTGCAGCGGTCGCCGTCATTTCAAGAGAATGGACCCAGGCCACAACAGCGACCCGTCGTCACCCCTTCGCACAGTCAAGCCCAGTCTCGAGCGCCGCTACAACCGCAGACGACGCCTCAGCAACAGCGTGTGCCTTCGCAGTCGACGCCTCAGCAGCAGTACATGTCCTCTCAACCCACCCTTCAACAGCAGCGACCTTCGCAATCGACGCCCCAACAACAGCGCCCTCCACAGTCGACTCCTCAGCAACAACGACCCCCACAGTCACAGTCAACGCCCCAGCAGCAACGTATACCCTCACAACCCACGTTTCAAGAACAACGTCCTCCCTCGCAATCTACTCCTCAACAACCGCGACCCCCACAGTCTACCCCTCAGCAACAGCGGCCCCCTCAATCGACGCCCCAACAACAGCGCGTACCCCCACAGTCTCGGACGCCGTCGAGCCAGTATGGCAGTCCGTTCCCTCAGCCGCCCTCGTCCAAACCACGGATGCACCCCCAGGTTGTCATACCGAAAGCGTCGTCTTTGCATCAGCTTACACCCACGAAGCGCGCCCACCCACCCCAGAAGGCCCTTCCTGCCGAGCTCTCCGAACTACTGCTCACGGCTGCGGACGAATACATCGCCGTCGCGCGAGGCATGGGATCGCTCCTAATACGGGAGAGAAGGGAGGCCGACATCAGACAATACTACAAGTTGATGTCCACTGCCATGGGGTGCATGGATACTGTGCTGAAGGACTTCAACATGCCGCCTAGGGACGAAGCCAAATTGCGGTTGAGGTATGCCAGCTTGATGATTGAAGAGACGGATATCGAGGCCGCGGACATCTCCAGTCGGATCGAGGAGATTCTGTCCAAGCAGATATCGCTCTGTGGACGCCATCGCCTGCAAGATCTCAAGTTTGCTGCACTCCATCTCCAAGCACGATATCAGTTCAAGACCAACCACCGCGCCGGTCTCAAGTCACTCGACCAGCCTATAAAGGAGGCGGAGACATTCCAACACATCGCCTGGGTGTATGCGCTGCGGTTTCTCAAAGTCACGCTCGCACTGCAGATACCGGGTCGTGTTGAGGTGGCCTTGGCTCTCCAGCAACTTCATGCTATACAAGATCACGCGGACCGGCGGGGTGATCGAGCCATCTACGTCGCTTGTCATGTACTCGAAGCGATGGTCCATCTACGCTCGGGTGCAAGCGATCGACTCGAACAAGCCCAACGCGCCATCGCAGCAGCCAGGAGCCTGCAGCTTCAGGTGTCAGCCAAGCAGCTAGGATCGTTTGGCACTCTCATCGACATTATTGACATTGCTAGCGGTATCCAGAAAGGCAGCCCCAACCCACAGAAGTCTACTGCGCTTCTGGAATCGATACTAGGCGACAAAAACGAACAGGCCAGTTCCCAAAGCGGCGTCTTCACTGTTCTCATTGAGAGGAGCTTTGGGGGTCACCTGACATTTGACACTGCTGGCATCTTCCGAAAGAACGCGGAGCAAAAGGACGAACTGGTGTTTGCATGGCTTCCCAAGGAGGATCTTCAAGCGTTGTGCTTCCACATCTGTGCACTGGACCAACATGTTCATGAGAAGGGCCTGAACTTCATGAAAGAAGCACACCAGCGCTTTCGAGAGACGGCAAAGCGACGCGTTTACAATGGCGTACCTATATCTATCGCGTTTGCACGCATCGAATGGAACATGGTCCTCGACTGGTATTCCATGTTCGCCATCGGCCTCATGGCGCGGACTAGGAACGATTCCGCGACTGCCGACGATGCGTTGGGTTTCCTCAAGAAGAAGATCTCGATGACCCCATACAACAACCAAGAAGCATTCGCTCGTACGCTCGCCTACTTCTCCGCCATCACCGACCAGATCAACGGATCCCACAACTCCTCACTAGCAGCATTGTCCTCAGACGTCCTCGCGATACCGGAGAAGGGCCACGCAACGCCCGCTAAAACAGACATCGCAATAATGGCAGCTCTGAACCGCCTCCTCATCCTCCGCGATGCCTCACATCCCCAACACTTCCAAGCAGCCCTCCTTCTAGCTCAAATCAAACCCCTCTGTGACGACCACCCGAATCAATACATCCGCATGGCCTTCCGCCTAGTGCAAGCCTACCACAGCGAAGACGCGCCCATCCTCCAACAGAAAAAGACTGTACAGTCCGCCGTAGGCATGGCCCAAGAGATCTCAAAGCGAACGCAGAACTTCGAGTTCGTCGCCATGATGATGTGCTACTTTGTAGCGCGCTTCTTCGCTGAGACGATCGGCGAGAAGAGTATTCAGGCTATTCGTGCGGCGAGGTCACAGGCGGTTAAGGTGCATAGACCGCTGTGGGCGGCTGTCGTCGCGGGTTTGTGTATCAACACGTATAGACGTAATGGGCTCATGGTTGAGGCAGAGATGGCCGCGCGTGAGTTTGAGAAGGTGAGGGGCCAGTTGCCGCTTGCGTTGAAGGGCGCGGATGATGTGGATGCGGATGGTGATGTTGATGCTGAGGGCGAGGAGGATGTTGATGCTGATGGTGACATTGATGTTGTGGGTTAGTTGGAGGTGATGTGTTGTGCAGGCTTCTTTTCCTTCGACATTTCTTCTTTCGAAGCATTGTCTTTTGCATTTGTTGGCGCAATATGCTGGGGCTTCATCATGTATTGTAAGGGTTCGAGATACCATGTCAGTCTATGGCGCGACGATGCGCGGCGTTGCAATGCACCTGTGTCATACCCGCAGATGGATAAGAGTGGCTTTTGATATGTGAAAACGCGAATAAGGATGTCATACTTTGACAATCCGGTTTAATGTCTACATGTATTCCTCAAAGACGAGATTCGTGTCTCCTCACAGTCAATATTGCAGCCTCCTAGCCTGTACGTACTTGCCCTGCAGCGAAATCAACACGGAGAAAGGGCTTAGATTACGTGGTCCCCACGTGCTGGTGCTACTGGCTATGCCACGGTGAGGTGCTACAAGGTGCCTGATTGCAGCATCCAGGAATACATAGTCCTTCTAGCGCCTGCTACGGAGGTAGATGGAGAAGACACCGTAAGAGAGCTTAATGCTCGCTGGACAGCCTTTTTGCGTTAGCACTTACTAGACGTATACGTATGTTACTTTCGCTCGAGAAAATGTAAGCTTTAACTGTACGAAGTGCAAGTAAGATATACATTTATTCTCTGCCTTCACATTTCAAATAGCAAGCTAACAGAGATACCTTTGAGTAAGACAAGTTGCAAAAGGCTAACAATAGACTTGTTTGGCAAGTTGCTAAGATCGAGAATAAGTGCGTTACTACTTGCGACAGTCGCGACCAAACTAAGAGGTAAGTTCGACAGCGAAAAGAGTACCTTAGTAAGCTAAACGCTTGAAAAACAAAGGCGACTAGTTATCCTCACAGAGTATTGTCTCTTGAATTCTAACCTTAAGAGGTGCAGACCTCATGCATGTTCATGTCTAGTAGCTAAGTTATTTATCACATCTCTCCCCGGAGACTACAACGGTGTTAATGTGCTTGCGAGAATAATACCTCTAATGCTTCACAGCCCTATATCTGTAAAACCAGAAATTATGCTAAGACGCGCGCGCGGTCACCGTGACTTCCCAATTGAGACTTACCGTGACTTCAAAATCCACGCTAAGACGCGCCTGCCTATCAAACAGTCAGACGCGCTCTCACCTCTGCTCTTCAATCCCACGCACGACTTCAAAATCAATTTCAATCTCTTCAGTTGCTTCAGTCTCAAGCTCCCAACGTATAAAAATCACTTCAGCAACGTCTCATCATGGCACCCTTCAACATGGCATCTCTTCCCACCACTCTCGTTGCGCGCAAGCAAAAGAAGATCGTAAATGCCGCCTTCGCAGCTATTGAAGCTCATGACGCGCATGCGCAGACTGTGCCTGAGCAGGCGAAGCTGAGCGTCAATGACGTCGCTGTCATCGCTAATAATCCATATCGGTTCTACGTGCGTTCTGTTCCCGTGTCTTATGATTACGTTCTTACTGACAAAGATACAGTTCGATCTCTGGAGCGGACTCCCGTATCCCTGGCTGGTTGAGTGCTTCGGAGTCGAGCTTGCTAAGAGACTTGTTGGCCTCAACAAGATTGCTTTGGAAGTGAGGGCGGCCGTCGCGAGCCAACCTGACCTAGACGCCCACAAGGAACTTGTGATGGAGCCACAACGTGAGCGCTTCGCATGGAATATACCTGGAGCCCGCCGCTTGGCAGTTGCCGCGGAGGCACTTGCTAAGAAGCGCGAGAGGCAAGAGCGCGAAAGGCTCGACAAGCTATCCAAGCAGTGAAGTCACTCGCTGGATACAGTCTCACCGACCTGAGTTGTTCTCTCAGCAAGTGGAAAGATCTTCATGCACGAAGAAGTTTGTGCTGGATGATGAGGAAGGGAAGGGGAATCTGATCGTCCGAAACCTGTACTCAGGGCAAAGCCTGGACGGATATACGGTAGTAGGAGGACAACTAGTTCTGATTCTCAGTAACCTGTTGCTTGGTCCTGTTTGACGAGGGACTGTTTCTTCTCAAGTTGATTGCAAGTGGCACTTCTTACAAGTTTCATGCAGTTAGCGATTCTCAAATCGAATCCTTTCAGATCAACTCAATGCAGAGTGCCGCATACTCTGCGTTTGTGAAATCATGACTGCTCCTCCACGGCACCCAGTGGAAGAAACAAAACTCCCATTACGCCATGAATACATACCCGGGTATCACAAACATCAAACCAAAGCCCCTACAACGCCTTTGATGTCGACCGGCCGGTTGACCCGCCAGTCTGAAGACAGCATGTCATCTGCCGCAATCCCATCTCCCACAATCAATGTATCCACCCGCAAGCGCCTCGCCCATGTCCCCAAGCCCACAACACTCAACCCTTGTACTTCCTCAACACATCCTCGCTAACCCTCTTGACGCTCTTGGCGGACAAGCCCCGCTCGCCGCGTTGTTTGCTCTTAATACTCGCTTCGTTGATGAGTCTGCGGGTATCGTTAGCTTCCTGTCTCTCTTCCTCTTCCCAGCTTCCACACCCGTCCGTCACCTGCGCGAACGCGCTCCGTTGCTCTGTGCCCTTTGCAAATATCCAAACTTCGTCGCACCGAGTCGTAATGTGATGGGAATCGAGGGAAGCGCATCGATTGGGGTGCCATCGTGGAATATGGCATCGTAGGTACGTACTCTTGCATAAACAGCACATAGTTCAAATATATCTGCATCGCACGTGAGTCTCCCATCTCCACTACTGCTCATCGAATCAAACGTACCAGAATATCCACGTTCTTGCTCAACGGCCTGTTGGAATGCGCCTTGACGATCTTCTTGACGGTGCCGCGGGGGTAGAGGGTCGGCGCCATGGTTTGCGTTTAGCGCTTGCGAAGGTTGAGGCGATGGCTTATTATAGGATGTGTAGGAGAGTTTGGGGTAGTCGGTGCGATGTGCGGGGTTGTTGAGCACAGTACGGGATGGATGCGTGGGTAGACGTGTCTGTTGACGTCGATGCGTGCAGATGGGTCTGTGCGTTGACGCGCTGGCACGTGGAAGGCTAACACTGAACGCCACACTCATGAACACAGGCCTTGCACAGGGGCTATGAAATGATTGGAAACCTGATAATCGTCTCATAGGAAGCCATCAACATGTTTAGGTCAATTGAAAAGAGTCTGAACAAAAGAATTCTCATACGAGATGCATCTATCAGGGACTATCACAAGATAATGTTACACAAACGAGATTCCACATCTACTGCGCTACATAATCACTGTATTTACACCTTCAGGCCGAGATCCGCAGCGTAGGGGAGTACGAAAAGGTCACCGACGGATGATACTGAGGCGTTGCTCTCAAGTAGTTCCTTAGCAGCCTGGCGTATTTGTCAGCACATAGCACGTGGGTAATGATAGTGTAAAGACTCACCTTCTTGACGGACTCTTCTGTTACGCCGTCAATCTTCTGGGCAACCTCGTCGATCTGGTACGGTTGGGTGTTGTGGATCAGACCGTTGCCAGTAAGCTCGAGACCAGCGCGGATGTCCTGGCCGTGCTCAAGCTCCTTGAACTTGGCGGCGGCCTTTGCCTTGGAGACCTCTTCGCTTGAGATCTCGCCGGAAGCAATCTTCTTGATGGCATCAACAGCGGCCTGGGCGGTTTGGGCAACAGCCTTGGCGGATCCGGTGATGGTGGTGTAGAGGAGACCGGCGTCGGAGTAGATGGCGCTGGTAGTCTTGACCTTGGCACCCTGAGCGGCGGCCTGGCCGAGCTTGGTGAAGCCTTGCGACCACTTGACGGCAGACTCGCCTCCGAGGAGAGAGCTGAGGACGGCAATCTCGGGCTTGTAGAACTTGCCGGTGAAGGAGCTGGAGCCGGGGAAAGCAATGACCATGGCGTTGCCGCTGTCGTGAGCGATGCGCTCCTCACCACCGTAGTACTTGGACTGGTCGGCACCGGTGTTGGACTCCTGGAGAGGGGTGCTGGGGACGTTCTCGAAGAACTCGCCAACCCACTTGGAGAACTCGCCGTGGTCGGCACCGTTGGCTACGACAGCGAAGTTGGGCTTCGCGTAGGCGATCTTGGAGTACCACTCAATGGTCTCGGCGTCGAGGTACTTGGTGTAGGGCGTGGGTGCAGCGGAGGCGGTCGGGACACCGAGGCCGCGGTGGAAGGCGAGGCTGTGGGCGGACTGGGTGGCCATGTCGGTGACGCTGGCGAGGAACTTCTTGTGGGCGAAGTGGATCATGGGGAGCACCTCCTCGGCGTAGACGTGGGCTGCACAGTGTCAATTCCATCCATCTCGGGGTGTCAATTTTGCCTACGCTGGTACTTGGTGGAGCTGGCGACCTCGCCGAGCAGCTCGACGAAGTAGGGCAGGTCATCGCGGAGGAACTTGGCCTCGAGCACCAGGTTCTCGCGCGAGTGGTGGGCGTTGAGGCTGGCGCCCAGGAGCTCGGATTCGCGGACAATGCGCAGCGTCGACCGTCTTTCGGTGCCCTAGAGGTCCGGAGCGTCAGTCTCGCTCTCCATAGCATGGGCAGTCTCAATTCAGCGTACCCGGAAAGCGAAGTTGGCAAGGCCCTCGGTCAGGCCGGGCAGCGGCTGGAAGCGCGTGCCGGCCTTTGCGACAAGGGCCAGCGTCGTCGTGGGGCCGGCAAAGTCTCTGCTGGCGTACTTGACGCCCTTGGCCTCGCCGGCCTGGTAGTTGAAGGAGCCTGAAGCTGGGGCAGCCAGGCCGCGGCGCTGGCAGCGGGCGACGGGCTGCTGGCGGGCTGCACGCTGCGCGCCCCGGCAGGCGGTCGTTCGGGAGAGCATCGTGGTGTAGGCGCCGGGCGGAGGGCTGGGTGGTGTGCGGGGGACGGCAATGGATGGAATGCGTCTGGTGGTGCGGCTGTCGAGATGCCCGTCACAAAGTTCGTAGGTCGCCAAGCCCCGTAATGCCATCGACCGCCGCTCCATTGGCCGGAGCTCGACTGGGACTGGGACCCCACCCAATATCATTTTCTAGTCGCTAAGACTGTCGCTATTCAACCCTCGCTCCTTCTCTACCAAAGCTTTGTTCTCCCCGTGCGTCGCCAATGTCTCCCCGGTAGCATTACCCCACCCTAGATATCTGGCAAATATCTAGGCTCCATCATGTCTTACAACCAGCGAGAGACTCCGGTAAGACGCGCCGCCCTTGCGCCTCGCCCATGTCACATGAATCATAACCAACCACTCTGCAGGTCCTTGCTGAACTCTGCACCTCCCTGGTCAAGGATGTCTACGGCGAACTCGCGGCAGTATGTCTTGTCGAACCAAGTCCCTGCGCATCCCTGCGCTTGGGCGCAGTACTCTTCTGCATCCAGGCATGCGACGGGCGCATTCAAGAACACTCTTCTAACTCCTCATAGCGGGTCTTTTCGATCCTCGCGCGCCACGGGCGCCAGAGTCTCGCATCCATCGCACGCGTCTCCTACCTGAACCCGCGCCAGATCAAGTACGGCCTCGTCATTCTCCTCCAGCAGCACCTCATCTTCCACTCCGGCAGCGATGCGCCCTTGACCTACTACGAGATCGACTGGCAAAACTCGTACGCAATCGTCCGCTTCGGCAAGATCGTCAAGCTCGTCCAAGACCGCGACGGCAAAAAGGCCGCCAACGTCATGTCCAACCTGCTCGCGCTCGGCCACACACGCATCGCCGACCTGAAAGAAGCCTACTTCCCCTCCGAAACTGAAAGCGACTATGACTCAGACGACGGCGCGGCCAACGGAGCCGGCTCAAAGCGGAAACGGACCAACGGCAATCACATCAACGGAACAGGCAAGACGAACGGTGTGACAAACGGCATTTCATCTGAGTCGGACGACGCAAAACCAGATCCCATGGAACTCACCAACGGCCACGGCAAGACCAACGGCGTGCACAAGCCCTCCAAGGTGGACAGCGTGACCCACAACAGCGCTCCAGAAGAGCCCGGACAAGAACAGGATGACAGCGACATTGGCTCTGTCGAGGAGCTGTACGAGATCATTCAGCGGCTGATGGAGCGCGGCTGGATCAGGACTGTCACCGAAACACAATATCTCTCCCCCGGCGATATGCACGACATGCTCTACCAGGAGTCCATCGAGCAAGACAACAATGGCGTCACACCCACGGGCACCAAAGACAAGGACATTGTCCACAGAGGGACCTTGCAGCGTAAACGAGCAATGCGCGACGAATGGCTGACGGTCCCAAATTTCGCCCGAAACGGACAGATGAACGGTTCCAACAAGCGCGTGAAGATCAACGGTGCGAACGGCACAAACGGACGGGCGGCACCAACATCGGACGACGACCTCGTTATCCGCGTCAACCCGGAGAAGATTGCGGTCGCCATGCGGACGGAGCAGCTGGTGAGTCTGGTACAACAACGTCTTGGTTCCATCACTGCGCGCGTTTACCAGACCATGTTGCGCATGCTCGAGTCCAAGACACCCCGCTGTTGGGAAGAGTGGCCTGATCCACCGCTACCTGCTGGCGAAGCTGGAGAGAACTCGATCGACCCCCGCTTCCTCGTAACCGCCCGCGACGTCGCCACGAAGCTCAGCCGTGAGCGCGATCTGGACATCTTCGAGGGTCTCGATCCGAACGCAGCGGCGCAAATGACTCGCAAAGGGCACATCAATCGAGCTACTATCTGGACACAGCCAGTCGACCCCGCAACCCTCAACATGGAAGACAGGACCAAGGTTGTGGACAAGCACATACAGATGCTGGCTGAAGATCCATTCCACTTTGTCACCTGGCACTCTCGTGCCGGGTTCTCGCAATGGCACATC